GCTACCCTTATTTCTCCTATAGCTACCTGTGTCACTCCATAATAATAGCCACCCTTATCCCTCCGCCCTAACAATATCAATAGCCACCCTTATCGCTCCTATAGCCACCCTTATCGCTCCTATAATAGCCTCCCTTATCGCTCCGTTTAATAGCCTCCCTTATCGCTCCGCCCAGACAATATCCCAACACACATAACAACAATGAAATACCACCCTTATACCTGCATAATATTAACAATGGAATGCCACCCTTATATGTCGTACAATAGTAAACCAAATCACACAACAATTTACACAAAAGATTATCACAACAACACCACATAATCCATTCGTAATTACAAATTTCCCGTAGGCCACAACCTTTCCAAGAGTACAACGTAATCAATTAAATTTCACAGCAAATAGCCCCAAGGCTCATACAACGTATATAAAACCTCATAAACAATAACCAAGATGGAAAAATAGCTCAGCACAGGACAACGCCTTCTTAAATCCAAATTTTAGATAAATATATAAATGCCTATTTTAAAACTTATTTTATTAATTATTTGCAGATGAAAAATTCATAATGTAATTAATTCCAAGAAATATCAAATCAAAAAACCCACGAAATTCACATAAAAATCCAAGTGAAAATCACCCCAAATTATCATATAAAATATAAACTCGACAAACAAGGAAGGAGGCATGACAAATCAAGGATTTATTAAGTTCCAACAATTTCAATTTAATACATAAGGGTGTCTACAAATTTTAACCGGTAAAAATTGCACATATAAACCAAGTACGTACTCGTTACCTCATGTACATGATTTTCAATCACACAATTTCCACATAAGACTCAATGCCTAAGGGAAAATTCCCTCACACAAGGTTAGGTAGGATACTTACCTTTTTGAAGTTAGGCCGATATTCCAAAATAGCCTTCTTGCTTGAATTGACCTCCAGACAGCTCAAATCTATCCAAATTAATTATATAACTTCACTAAAATTCATCGAAAATAATTCCGAATAATAAAATACTGATTTAAAAATTCACATTAAAAAGTCAACCAAAAGTCAGCGCGGGGCCCGCCTCTCGGAACCCAATAAAATTTTCACGAAATTCGAATACCCATTCCGATACGAGTTCAATCATACCAATTTTATCAAATTTCGATAACAACTCGGCCTCCAAATCGTAAATTTTTGTTCTTGAAGAGTTGTAAAAATTTCTCCAATTTGTTCCATTTGATTCACTAATAATTGATAAAAATTACCATGGAATCATGAAGTATAATCATTTTTGGATATAGAACACTTACCCCAATCCATATGGTAAAAATTACCTCAAAAATTGCTTCAATCCGAGCTCCATAGCTCCAAATATGTTAAAATGGCCGAAACTCCCATTTTAAAAATCTGTTTAGGCAAGTCTCATTTGACAGTTGAGACTTATAAATCGCATTTGACACCTGTTATTTGCTTCAGCCCCAGAAAAATAGCAGCCTTTCCTGATACGGAAATGAGCATAACTCTATCATACGATGTCCGAATGATTAATGGTTTAACTTTCTGGAAACTAGACACCAAGGGCTACAACTTTCATGTTTTGGTCATCTTTCAATTGATGGCGAGATATAAGCTCCCAAAGTCAGCCCTGTGTAGTAGACATTTCTGCGATGCACACTGCCAGGCAAAATAACTACAGTACTAGGCTTCAGTTAATTGATCATCACATTCTGTACAAATGTCCAAATGATGAATGGTTTACATTTCTGGAAACTACATTCAAAGGGCTACAACTTTCATTTTTAGATCATCTCCAAATTCCTTACAGATTACGAGATATATACTTCAAAAATCAGCCGTGTGCAACAGAAATTTCTGCGATGCACACTCGTGTAGCCAAAAATCAGTAGTTAAAAATGGCCTACAAATGGTCCGAAATCACTCCGAAACTCATCCGAGCCACTCGGGACCCCATCCGAATATACCAACAAGTCCCATAACATAATACTGACCTAGTTTAGGCCTCAAATTACATCAAACAACACCGAAACAATGAATCGTACCTCGAATCGAACTTATGAGTTTATGAAAATTTTCAAATTCTATATCTTGTGCCGAAACGTATCAAATCAATCCGGAATGACTTTAAATTTTGCATGCAAGTCATAAATGAAATAATGGAGTTGTTTCAAATTTTCAGAATTGAATTTCGACTCCGATATCAATAAAGTCAACTTCCAATGAAACTTTCTAAAAATCTTCCATTTTCTAACTTTCGCCAAAATACGTCGAATTGTCCTACGGACTTTCAAATCCAAATCCGGACATACGCCTAAGTTCAAAATCACCATACGAAGCTATTGACATCATCAAAATTTTATTTCGGAATTGTTTACTCAAAAGTCAAACTCCGATCAACCATTTTCATTTAAGCTTTAAAATTAAGAATTGTTCTTTCAATTTAAATTTTGAAAACCAAATTTGACCACACACGCAGGTCATAATACCTATTACGAAGTTGCTCGAGACCTTAAGTCGGTGAACAGAAAGTTAATTCAGAAAATGACTAGTCGGGTCGTTACAGAATAGGTAGTTGGAAAATATGCTATATGAATCGAATTATCATTAATATGATCCTCATTCAGAAGATAATTCAAGTCAAATGCTAGAAGCATTTGCTGATCCAAAATTAAATATCATATTTCAGCTGCAAATGCTCCTATTAAAATTAAAGTCCCCGAAGGATAGAATTTACTTATCGCATAAAGCATAGTAGACCGATCAGTTCCAAAGGTGATAATCGTTGAAAAGGATAGGAGCAAATGATTAAAATGATCATAATGAGGAGGACTGAACTCTAGAAGAGCCCACGAAATAATATTTCATGAAACTCCAGAAGAAGTTCAGGTATTTGAAAATAAAGAACGTGATGAGATTTAAAGAAGTTATGTCGCTTGCGAACCGATATAAAATGATCGTCGATAATATATTTGATACAATATAGTGCACAATATTATAAAAAATTGTGAGCATCGAACCTGTAGTCCATACACCTGAAGATGTCATGCCATTTAAATGCATGACATAACCTATATGACTCATTTGATCAAATCCCTGAAGGATTTAAAATGCTTGAAGCGTATAATTCAAACTCTTGAGAAATATACTCGATCAAATTACAAAAATCTTTGTACGATTAAAGCAATCTGGCGCATGTGGTATAGTCGCTTCAATGAATATTTACTGAAAGAAGGTTACATAAATGATGTTATTTGTCTGTGTATATATATAAAGAAAATGTCATCAGAATTTATTATACTTGCTGTTTATGTTGATGACATAAATCTTGTTGGAACTCCAGAAGAGCTCCAAAAGGCAATTGAATATCTTAAGAAAGAATTTAAGATGAAAGATCTTGGAAAGATAAAACTTTGTCTTGGTTTGTAAATTAAATATTTAGCAAATGAGATCTTTATCCATCAATCTGCCTATACAAAAAGGTTTTAAAATATTTTTACATAGACAAAGCGCACGCATTAAGTACACCAATGATTGTTCGATCACTTGAAGTGAATAAGGATCTGTTCCGACCTCCAGAAGAGGATGAGTAACTCCTTGGTCCTGAAATATCCTATCTTGGTGCAATTGGTGCACTTATGTATCTTGATAATACTATAAGGCCTGATATAGAATTTTTTTTTAATTTACTAACAATATATAGCTTTTCTCCTACACAGAGACATTGGAATGAGATTAAGCATATATTGCAATATTTAAAGGAAACTCTTGATATGAGTTTGTTTTATTCTAACAAAGGTAGTGCAGATCTTGTTGGTTATGCAGATGCGGGTTATTTATTTAATCCCTATAAAGCTCGGTCTCAAACGGGATACGTTCTTACAAGTGGAAGTACTATCATATCATGGCGCTCCACAAAACAATCTATTGTTGCTACTTCTTCAAATCATGCTGAAATAATAGCTATTCATGAAGCAAGTAGGGAATGCGTACGGTTGAGATCAGTGATTCATTTTATTCGAGAAAACTATGATTTGGAATGTGATAAAAAACCCAGACCTTTATACGAAGACAATGTTGCATGCATAGCCCATTTGAATGGATGATTTATAAAATGAGATAGAACAAAGCACATTTCACCAAAATTATTTTACACACATAATCTTTAGAAAAATGGGGAAGTTGATGTGAAACAAATCCGTTCAAGTGACAATCCAATAGATTTATTCACTAAACCTTTACCAACTTCAATGTTTGAGAAGATGGTATGCAAGATTGGAAACAGAGACTCAAATATTTGAAACAAGATTTTCATCAGGGGCAGTAAATACGCGCTGTACTTTTTTTCCCTTACTAAGTTTTTTCCCACGAGGTTTTTCTTGTAAGGTTTTTGACGAGGCAGCTAGCAATGTGTATTACTAAATATGTGTACTCTTTTTCCTTCCCTAGAATTTTTTTCCCCACTAGATTTTTCCTAGTAAGGTTTTAACTCTTTTAATGAATATATAAGGGGGAGTGTTATGAAAATATTATATTGCGGATGTCTATTTATTACTCTGTTGTAGATAATCTTCATGAAGAAGATAATCCATTTAGTATTCTATTGAAATTTATCTACAAGTAGGTGATGCAAGCAGTTTATAAGCAACTCAATGAAATGACTTGAAACAGCTTCTTATTAAACAGGCAGGTTGCGAGCAGCTCAAGACAACTTACAAGCAGCTCAAGAAAAGCCTCGCAACTGTTTTTTTTCTTTTATAAATAACGAAGTTTTCAATTCATTATATAGATCAGTTTGAATTTGAATAATATATTAATCTCTCTTTATACTTATCGTCAGTTTATTTACTTTACAATTTTTATTTTATAACATGCACTAAGTTCGCGTGAATTTTTTGGTCAATACAGGAGGTCAACTTTACTAGAAAAAAAATTCAAAGATTAAAATACGCGTAGTAAGCAGTAACGTATCCATCTGTCACACAGATTACAGAAAAGTCTGCAAGCACAAACACGTTCTTAGCAAAAAATAATTCCATTTCTCCAAGTCATTTCATTAATCAATTTACAAAAAAGAAAACCCACCGTTTTATTTTCTTTCTCAGAAAGAACCCACAAGCTGTGATCTCAAAGACCCATTAGCTGAACAAAAGTCTTTGTTCAGATCTTCAAAAATTTTAAATTTGCAAATTCAATCGTAGATTCCTCCTAATTGTTACAGATTTCATTAGCAATGGCAGTGAAAGGGAGGCATTCCCGAGTTGGGCCTAGGAAATCGTCGAATTCCACTCTAATTTTTGGTGGGTTTATTATGTTATCATTTGTGGTCCTCATTCTTCTCGCTTTCGGCATTTTCTCCATTCCCAGCAGTTCAAGAGGCTCTCAGAAAGCACACGATCTTAGCTCTATAGCACACAATACAGTTCAAAGGTACCATTCCATTTAGATGAATTCTGGTGATTATTTTTCTTTTCTCAGTTGGTGTAGTGATCTGATAGCTTTAATGGGAAGCTTTTCTTTTTCGGGAGTACAGAGGTGATGATGAAGATGATGATGGAAAAGGAGATCAGTGGGTTGAAGTGATTTCTTTGGAACCAAGAGCCTACATTTACCATAACTTTTTGGTATTTCTCTTAAAGATTTCTTTTTTATTTGATTTTCTTTCGATACATAGTGTTTTATGGCGGCTGCTATTGCTATTAGTTTAGCTAAATTTCTTTGTGGATTTTTTTGAATAATTTGATTCTTACAACTATGCCTCAATTTGTATGAAAATGAGAAATATTTTGTAATTGCCACTGTTGTTCTACCAAAAATTAATTTGTGAACACATGATATTGAATTCGATATCGAATTCTGTCACTTAGCGCATGCAGAAAAAGAAAGAACCTTTAGGAAACTGGAGGAGAATTGATTTAATTCTTGATTTTATTCTCTTTCAATACTCTAATAATTATGGGGACTCATATGGAAATTTCATTTCAATTTAATGTTTGACCTTGTTGAAAATTGATAGTGGTTTGTCATTATAGCATATCTAGAGCTTGATCTATTGTTATGCATTTACTGCTACCGGTCGAAGTTCATCGATCTAAAGAGTAAAGACTCTGATTTCATTGCTATCTCTTTGGCAGTCCAAAGAGGAATGCGAGTATCTGATTAGTCTTGCCAAGCCTCACATGCAAAAGTCAACTGTTGTAGACAGTGCTACTGGCAAGAGTAAGGACAGCAGGTAAGCATATCTTCTGCATGCCCCCCAGGCTTGTCGAGTTAGGTTGTACTACTGAGGAATTATGAAGATTTAATTGTAATACCATCTTTAGTTCTCACATTCTTTTCTCCTGTTTATTCCCTCCCTGTCAGGGTCCGAACCAGTTCAGGAACCTTTCTTGCAAGAGGACGTGATAAAGTGATCAGGAATATTGAGAAAAGGATTGCAGATTTCACCTTCATACCAGTAGGTATGCGTTGTTTTTTTACCAAAGGATGTAACTGAATGAATATGCATCAAGTGTTATGCTTATTACTGAAGGATCTAAGTTACCTCTAACTGTTATGCAAAGAAATAATCATTCAATAAAGGTTGGGGGTGTCTGAAAATGGTATTGTCTACACTGGTTAACTCTTCTTTTTTTAGAGAACTCTATTTAATGGTGTTATTAAATGTACTCCCTCTATCACTATCTTTTTTGCGCTATTTCCTTTTCGTTCATCCCACCCCTTTTTATATTTGGAAACTAAATAATTCTAACATTCCCATTTTCCATTGACTTGACTTGTTGTATGCCCCATTTTATACTAGACAAATTGTTTGGTACAACGGTTGGTCTGGTGTTTTATTCGTATTTAGCATACCTGTCAAAACTAATTTTTTTTCTTTTAAACATGTGTCCCGTCAAACTATGCTAAAACAAATTGGGTTTTGAGGGAGTAGTACTATTTATGCCTAAGTTAAGGAAATAGGACAGCTTTCACTGGCGCCACCAGTTATAGAAGCTACTAAATACATTTGTTGGGAATTTCAGTATGCTAAATTTGGCTGTACACGAAGGCGAATGTTCTTTCGGAGCTCCAGCACGAAGAGCCTTATATTTCCAACTAATTAATGTAATTTCACTTTATTGTTGATTTCTGGAGTTATATGCATTGTCCAAAATAAAGTTGGATGCATTATTTTTGGTCAGCTGTTGGATGCAGATTTTATATGCATTGAATTGAGAGGTGGTGGCTGGGGATGAGTGTGGATTTAATTTAATGTCCGAACTCAATTTTGTAATTTGTCTATCCTGCAAGTATAACTCTGCTAATTAGTTGACCCACTAGCACTCATGTGGGTTGCTTGGAATGAGAGGAATAGGAGAGCTTCTGATGGAGTAGAAAAAGATCTTGTAAACTTCAAGAGTAGCCTCTTTTCCCTTATTTATTTTTGGTGCACCCATGAAGTTCCTATTTGTATAGAAGATTGGTTGTCTTTCGTAAAAAACCATGTCTTTTTGTAAGGTTTTCTAATTTTTGGTGTACTCCTTGTATACAGGCATGTTTTGCTTTTTTAATGAATTTATTACCTTATTCTACTAATTAGTTAGTGATTATTCCAGGCATCATTAGTGTTAACCACTAGTTTCATTTCTGCTCCTCCCACACTCAGAGATAGAACAGATTCTATGAAGATTAGTGCTCATTAACTTTCTTTTGAAAAGAACCTTCAAAAAAATACCTCATCTTCATGCTTAGCCAGTATAATTCGTGTGCAAGGCATTGCTAAACTTGCTCAAATTGCCTCTTTCAGTATTGGTCTATTCGACACTTTGTCATTATGCAATGCCTTAAACTGCATGTACATTGATGCTTCTGCTGCTGTCTACAGAGCATGGGGAAGGTCTTCAAGTTCTCCACTACGAAGTGGGGCAAAAGTATGAACCCCACTATGATTATTTTCTTGATGAGTTTAACACTAAAAATGGAGGTCAACGCATTGCTACAGTTTTAATGTACTTGTAAGTGACTTTTCCTCTGTGAGGTTTATGCTTAATGTATTTTCACGGAATCCCTTAGTTGATTCTATTGGTGCACTGCAGGTCAGATGTTGAAGAAGGGGGTGAAACAGTATTTCCAGCTGCGAAGGGAAATTATAGTGTGGTCCCTTGGTGGAATGAACTATCTGAATGTGGAAAGGGTGGACTTTCAGTAAAACCAAAGAGGGGTGATGCATTGCTTTTCTGGAGCATGAAGCCTGATGCGACTCTAGATCCGTCAAGTTTGCATGGTGAGTAATATGCATGAAAGCACAACAACAACAACAACAAACTCAGTGAGTTCCCACAAGTGGGGTCTGAGGAGGGTAGTGTGTACGAAGACCTTACCCCTACCCTGGGAGGGCAGAGAGGTTGTTTCATGCAAGTAATCTGCATGAAAGCACATACGGAAAATGGGTTTTTGAGCATTGCGAACTTGATTAATGCATAGTGAAATACATCTTTTAGCATAAAGATTGTTGTAAGCATGGCTTATTTGATTGGCGACTAAGTAGAATTTTATCTTGTATAGGTGGGTGCCCTGTGATTAAAGGCAACAAATGGTCGTCAACAAAATGGATACGCGTCCATGAATACAAAGCTTAACCTACTGCTAGAGGTAAACCTCTTTGCCTGGATGGTGTAACTAATACACATAATATATGTGCAACTCTAAACATTAGCTGCAATAATTTGCTTTCTCTTCACAATATATCTGCATCTCTGCTGTCTTCTGATATAAGATTGTAAACTATTATTAAGTGAGCTTAGGGATGTAAAAGTGGGCAAACGGGTGCATGTGAATTATTAGTTTGTCTCACCCGTCGATCCATTTGGCACCTCTAATATGGAGCAAGCTTGAACTTAATGGTGTACCTTGTATTGATAATAGATATTGGTTCCGCAGGTCCAGTTTTGAGTATGGATGCAGTCACTGTTGTGCTATTTGTATCAAAAGGATAATCTTATAATGAGGTCCCTCTGCTTTCAACCACCATCACATGAAGCTTCTGACTTATTTTCTAGCTTGATTTTACTATGATAGTACTCATCTTCAACATTCTTTTTCCTTTCTTTTCGATAAAGTTGGAGCTTACAAAGTTGTAGTTGTTATCTTTCATCTGTGAGTTTAATTAGAATAATAAAGTATGAGAAGTTTTGTTGGAATTATGAGGTGTATTCATGGACAGCACATCAGCTTAGATGATATGGGAATTATAGCGATTACACTCTGTATCCTATTTTATTCACGCTATACTTTACTTGGGGAGTTTTAACTCGTTTTTAGTTGACTATGATTATCTAAATATTTCTAATTTAGAAAGGATTATGAATTTGAGTATTTCTTGTGTGTTTCTCTATGTAAAATTTATATGTTTTGATCACCGTACTCCAGATCTGTCAGTCTTTCTGTGATGGAGGGAGTATAGAATTCATCCATTGTCTTTAGTTGCTAGAGATGAGGATCTGAATATGTGGGCTCGGGAGTCTTATCAAGTGCAGAATACAAATATTAATTAAGTGATATAAATCTATACAAAAGAAATGATATACCATATTTATTGTTTTGGCGAATTTCGTCCATAAGATTATTACAGTTTGTTAAATAATTAGTGCAGCAGAGATAATGCCCTTGATACGTGAGGGGTAAAGAAGGCGGAGCCAGGATTTTTAGTTTATGTATTTTGAACCATTTTTTTTACTTATTGGGTTCTAAATATACTATTTATCTACATTCAATGGATTTTTTAAATACAAATATAAGATTTGAGCCAAAATCACAGGGTTCAGCCGAAAATAGCTATAAGGCTAACTCCGTCCCTGGAAGAAGGCCCTGGTTCAAAGTCCTTACCGTGGTGGTCACGAATATGGAATTTATCCATGGTGTAAGAAAAAAAAAGTTAAAAGGAAAAAGGAAATTCAAAACAATGTTTTAATACGGTCAGGCTCGCCCACAACTATTTTACCCATCATGGTTGGGGCATCAGCTCCAGCCCCCAAGTAACGGAGACAGAGTCCTATCAATCTATTATGGAGTAATTTTCAGAAACTATTATTGTTTAGTGGTTATTAACTTTCTATATATAACATATACATAATTACTTCTTATAGTTACTATTCAGTTGTTACGGTAGTGTATTCGCTGTATTTGCGCTACTGTATTCATTAATACATTAGCAAAAATCGCCTAAAACAGGGGAGTCCAGCTGTACGCGACTGTATTCAGATATATTCGCGTCATGTATTCATGAATACAGTAATGGCAGTCACTTTAAAAATAGGTATGTCAAGCAGTCTAATTAACTCAACAAAATTAATTCTAACACGCCTCATTATCAATCCAATTGATTAGAATAATTTTTCAGATGCTAAACACAAAAAATAGAGCATTGTCAATTCAGTTTCAACATAACACAACCTGCATAGATTCAATCATTTTTTTTTCTTGTATAGTTCGAGGTTTTGATTTGACCGTCATTGATAGGAATTTTTTCTGCCCGACATTCATTGATACAAGTATTTACAGAATATTTAGTAATTCGATTTACTATATAGCGAGTTTAACAATGCTAATTCGTCATTCTGGAAAGTGGAACAATAAAAATTGTTATGTCGATTATTCGATTGAGGGGATATTGAAAGCATATAGTAAATCGATTATTCCCTATTTATTGAAAGCATGTATTCAATCGGTATAATGTATATGTTATTTTAAATTATGGTATAATGTATAAGAAAGTTACAATGTGATACCTTAATACATGTTTGAATATAACCTGTAATATGAATATTTATTGAAAGCATGTATTCATGCATAAGGTATGTAATCAACCTACTGTTGTATTCAGTTGTATTTAAGTGCAGTATTTAACTGTTATATTCAGTGTGTTTCAATATTTATTTTGTACTATTGCATTAATTATATTCAATGTTTGTATTCATTGTATTCACTATTTTATATTCAATGTATTCAATTGTATTTGTACTAACAACATTTTAGTTATTCCTAGTACATGTTATTACTGTTGTATTCAGTATATTTTATTGCTTGTATTCACTGTATTTCTATTTGCGGAAAAGGGCCAAAACTGCCCTTGAACTATTTGAAATAGCTCAAAAATGCCCTCCGTTTGTTTTTGGTACCAAAAATATCCCTGCCGTCTATGTTTTGGACCACAAATGCCCTTAAACCGTTAGTCTTGCCATTGAAGGTGACATGACAGTCCAACCGGGTTAGATTTGTTTACATGACCATCCACCTAAGCAATCTAGATGGCAAAATTATTTTTTCGGAAAAAATATTTTTTCGAAATTTTTTATTAAAATACAAAATCAACACTTATTCCGAAAAAAGTAAAAAGTTTCTGAAAAAATTATTTATTTCGGAAATTTTTATTAAAATACAAAATCAACACTTATTCCGAAAAAAGTAAAAAGTTTCTGAAAAAATTATTTATTTCGGAAATTTTTATTAAAATACAAAATCAACACTTATTCCGAAAAAAGAAAAAAAATTTCGAAAAAATTATTTATTTCGGAATTTTTTATTAAAATACAAAATCAACACTTATTCCGAAAAAAATAAAAAAATTCCGGAAAAATAAATATTTGGGGGTTATTTTTCGGGAATTTTTTACTTTTTTCAGAATAAGTTTTGATTTTATATTTTAATAAAAATTTCCGAAATAAATAATTTTTTCGAATCTTTTTTTACTTTTTTTGGAATAAGTGTTGATTTTACAAAGCCCAAGAGTACAAGTATATATATATATAATCATAATTTTTAAAAATAATTATATATAATTATATATAGTCAGTTTGGTTCGATTTTTTTGGTTTTTTTCCGGTCAAAACCAAAACCAAACCAAAATTAATCAGTTTTTAAAATTGAAAACCAAACCAAAAATAAGTCGGTTTTTTTTCCGGTTTGGTTTAGTTATCGGTTTGGTTAGGTTTTTCGGTTTTTTACTAACACCCCTAATGACCAGGAACACCTGGATCTGCACACGAAGTGCAGGGTGTAGTATGAGTACAACCAACTCAGTAGGTAACAATAATAAATAAGAAACTGAAGATAGTGACGAGCTATACAATTATAATTCATTTTCAGTAATTCCACCAAAGAATAGACATGCTTTCAAATCCAGCAGTTTGAGTCAAATAAATTTTTATACAATTCAAGTTCATATAATCCGGATATAGAATCTTTCAGAAATTTTACCACAATAACAAATAGCAACTAAGTGCATTAACCAATGAAAAACAAATATAGCCTCTCAGGACAACAATCACTCAATGGGCTCCCAGCCCTCAGCACTCACACTCAATGGGTACCCGCGCTCACTGGGGGTGTACAGACTCCGGAGGGGCTCCTACAACCTAAGTGCTATAATCTGCACCGACAACTCACGTGCCATAATATAAATATCTGGATCCACACGGCCAACTCACATGATGCACAGCCAACTCACGTGCTATAGTATAATATAAGGATCCGCACGGCCAACTCACGTGCTGCACGGCCAACTCACGTGTTGCACGGACAACTCACGTGCTATAGTATAATATAAGGATCCGCACGGCTAACTCACGTGATATAGTATAATATAAGGATCTGCACGGCCAACTCACGTGCTATAGTATAATATCTCACAATCAGGCCTTCGGCCTCACTCAGTCATAAAGCTCTCCAGTCTCTAGGGCTCTCAACAATCATACAATAAGCCCAAACAACAATGATATGATGTATCAATAATAATAATAGAGACTCAGACAAAATGTGCAAGTAAAAATTGAGACTGAGTATATAGCATTTAGCAGGCAATTCAACAAGTACGCGACCTCTGTGGGTCCCCAACAGTACTATCACATAGCCTAAGCATGATTTTTCGGTCAAATTTTATCAACACATAGAGAGCATATAGCTAACAACAAATTATTCAACTTTACAGTTTTTCGGAACGGACCAAGTCACAATCCCCTCGGTGCACGCCCACACGCCTGTCACCTAACATGTGCGTCACCTCCAAAATAATCACATGATAGAAATATCCGGGGTTTCATACCCTCAGGACCAGATTTAAAACTGTTACTTACCTCAAACCGTGTAATTCTTTATTCTGCTATTCCCTTTCCACGAGAATTGGTCTCCGAAAGCCTCGTATCTAGCCACAATTAATTCGATTCGGTCAATACCAATTATTGTAATTATTTCCATAAGGAGATACTAAGTTTTCAATAAAATCCGAAATTAACTCAAAAATCGCCCGTGGGACCCACATCTCGGAACCCGAAAAAAATTACAAAATATGAACGCTCATCCAACCACGAGTCCAACCATATAAATTTTACCAAATTCCGACATCAACTCGACCCTCAAATCTTCAATTAAAGTCATTGAAGATTTTTACCATTTTCAACCCAATCTTTACCCATTTGAACTCAACACTCTTTCCATAAACCTTATTGATACGTATAAATAATATACTCTTACACCCATAAATCATACTCTTAATCACCCATCATTACCCAAACTCGAAATTGAAGATAATGGGTTAGAACCTTACCTCTTTGATGAAGAACTTGAGGGATTTCTTGTTGCATTTCAAGGCTTGGACAAGAATTTGATGAACAAGACACTTTATCTGCTTCCTCTCTCTATAACACTCTCACTTCTCTCTAAAATCATTAGATAATTGCCCCAAAATATGCCCCAAAACCTATTTATCAAAATGGGGTCGGGTTATGAAAATAGAAAAATTACCCCTCCGAAAACAGGTATGCGGTCGCACAATGGATCGCACAATGGGTATGCGGGTCGCACAATGGACCGCAAAATTACTGCCGAAAACTGGGTTGCGCTGGGCATATCGGTCACACAATGTGTCATTATGCGATCGCATAATGATTTTGCGGTCGCACATCTGACCGCAGAATCGCATTTTTCTAACTTGTGGCAATTTGGTCATAATGAGTCATAATGTCTTGTTGGAATGTCCAAATAACAAACGGTTTGAAGCGTTGAAAACTAGACACATAGACCTTTCTTTTGATAGGTAACACATATTATAACTCTTAATATCAAGAGAGGTATGCTCGTTTGAAGTTAGGTCTTGTGCGAACTCACTTAAAACTTTAGTCTTATGAAATTTTCAACTTCTACATTCGATGCCAAAACCTATCGAATCAAGTCCGATTGACCTCAAATTTTTCACACAGGTCATAAATAATATAACGGAGCTATGAAAATTTTCTGAACTAAATTCCGACTCCGATATCAAAAAGTCAACCCTGTGGTCAA